TAACATCCTGGCATAATCGAAACCGGTTTCCCAGCGTCTCGAAATCACACGGGTCAGCTCTTCCCCAGTTTTTCCATTCATCTCTCTCTCTCTTTCATCCTCACTGCAAACGATTAAAAGATTTAAAATGTACTGAAGGATTTTAACACTCGTCCCCTCGACGCCAAAAATCCCTCAATTATCCGGTGCTATGGCCCGACCTTGACCCCGTTTAAAACGAAATAAAAATCGTTGATCGCAGAGGAGAGAATTCTGGTTTTCACGAAAAAAATCCTCGAATCGAGAATATAATATTCTGGAATCAGGAATATCTGTATTCCGGAATCCGGGATCTTATATTCCGTAATTCGGAATAATATTCCGGAATTCAGGATGCAATATTCTGAATTCCAAAATGCAGAATAATATTCCGGGATTCGATATATTGCATCCTGAATTCCGGAATAATATCCCGAAGACTTCCTCGCATTGCGCTAACGACGCGCCGTCCGAATTTAATTTACTCAAAATTATTAATTAAATTGAGAAATAAAACTAATTTATTTAAATTTACTTAAATTCGTATTTACTTCAATTCGGATGCTACGTCGTCAGTACATGCAATCTTTTATGGACGCGACGGATTTCAATGTGAGGAGGTCCCCGGAATATTATTCCGGAATTCAGGATGCAATATTCCAGATTCCGGTATATTATTCCGAACTCCAGAATACTAGATCACGGATTGCGGAATACATATATTCCTGATTCCGGAATATTATATACCCGATTTGAGGATATTTTTTTCCGTGTTCAGGAACATGTTACGGTTTTTGAGGAATCCATCGTCAATTAGCGCATGTACGGAGAGAAATATTCAATAAAAATTACGTATCTTTTCCGTAATTCCGGAGCGAAATGTGGTTGTAGGAAATTTTACGGAACTGTCACGGAATTTATCCAGAGCGTTCGGTAATTTTTATCTGAATCTGCTGTGAAAAATTACCATACCGTCACTTAAATGTTCTGAGTCGATTCCGTAATCGGTGAGCGAGTTGTGAGTTCCGTAATTTTTACTGAATATTTCTCTCCGTGTGGAGAAAAAGTTGGAGAAAAATTACCGAACAAGTCAAGTAATCATGAAGCGAATCCCATTTTTAGTACGTTTTCACCCTATAACGGGATTAAAGTGCGAGACGAATAGTGAATTTTCCTACGTTGGCCCGGGAAAATTTACTAAACGTGAGAGTAACCTGTCCCGAAATAGTAAAATTTACCCTGCATCCCATAAAAAATTATCTTAGTGAACATGAATGATTGCTCAATATTGCGTATAATTTTTCTGTAACGAAGAATGATTTTTTACCGAACACGTTCGGAAAAATTTCACTGCCATTCATGTGGCAAATTTTACTGCACAGGAGGATAATTTTCGCATCCATAAATGTATTTTTTTTATAGAATCGTAAAACATCTTCCACAAGCAGGTATTTTTTCGCTGAATTGCATTTCGCCCCACGATAACCTTTCGTACAGTAAAATTAGCTACGATTTTCTAGAGAATTCTTCCCATCCAAATTTCAGCCAATAGAATTCCACTATTCGACTGTGATTTTATATATTAAATACGGTATTCAACTGATAATTTTTGATAATTCCTGGTCGAGTGAGTCTCTCATTGGAACTGACAGACTGATTTTGTTCCATAGTGTCATTCTCTTGGCCGAAATTTGGTTGGAAAAACATATTCAACATACATATCTGTGAAAACAAAAACTTTTTCTTCTGTAATGGCCACGGGAGAAGGATTTTCGGGCATTTCCTTTGGTACCCAAAAGGTATTTCCCAAATACCTCTCGGGATTTTGTTAAATCGCGTTAATCTGAAATTTCAAAAACTCCATTACCATCCCAAACACAAAGCTGAAGGCAAATATAAAGTTAATCTGTACGGTCAAGTACATACAGCGGAAAATACTGGTCATGAGCGGACAGGGGGTTGGGGGGGGACTGCAGAAGGAGAGAAAACAACTGCAGAGAAGACTAGAGTGGTCGTCGGCCTCGTAGAGCTGCGCGGTTGGGCTTCCCGGTGTAGTCTCCTCACTTCTCAAAGCCTCAGCCACTCTTCCTCTCTCGGAGCAATCTCTTTCCCACCTCCGCACACGCGAGCAACACTCGGCTTCGTGGTGTACATATTCCCGGGTGTCGTTGAGTTCTCGAGCGAGAAAAGGGGTCTAAAGGGCCCCCTCACGATGAAAGAGGCGGGGAGGGGGGCATCGACAATTCAAGACCGCGAGCTAATGGGAAGCTGTAACAGAGGGAGATGAGGATATGTGTATTGTTTACGACGCACGACGCGGTTAGCCATGTTGGATTCCTGGTGGAATATTAGGTTCGAGGATGTTTGGAAATATCGGGGGGTTTTTGCTTCCCAATGGAAATCTTGCAATCGTTCACATTTCACGTTTTAATTTTTTGGGGCAGGGTAACTAAATATGGTCTGAAAAGTCCAAATATACGATTTGTTAATGGGATCTCTATGGGCGAATGTTGTATGAATGCATTCGTGCACTGTTAAAAATCGTCAGAATTTTCTGCGCCAAATTGCGGAAATTTTTATCGTGTTCAAGTTACATTGAAATTTCGGGAATTCTTGTCATTGAAAATTCAGCACTTTGTGGAGAAATCAAACAGAACTGTAAATTTCCGTTCCATTTTCACTTGAGATGAATGGAAAACCATCAAATTCTGCACTGTTAAAAATTTCTTGAAATTTCAGTCACAGCGTTATCTGAATTTTCGATGTTGTGAGGTTGAATTCAATTTCAAATTAAAGTGTTCACTAAATTTCTCATTCGTCTTGAAAATTGAAGTGAATTCAGATAGTTTCTAGTACAATTGAGAGTTCAATATCACATTGAGCTGAACGTCCAATCAATCTCAACCTCAAAAGTATATCGAACCGAATTTTCCTGCTATTTACAGTTTCCACTGATTCAAAGATTGGAAATTCAAGTGGAATCGTCACTCATTAAAAATTCCCAACATTTATATTGGAATGTTCACCAGTATCTTGTAAACTGTGCTTCAAATGCTATCGAATTAATCACCCCAACGATTAAATATCCAAATCTGTAAACCATCCGTTTCAATATAATTAACGACATCAATTAACGACATAATTGTCTTCTAATGATTAAAAATCTTCCTCCAAACAGATTCCCCCAAAGAACAAAAAATGAAAAATTCATCAGGTATTTCAGTGAAGAAGGAATTTCAAAGAATTAAAAAACCCCTCGAATTTAGTATGCACAACGGATCATCTCCGCTGCATGCCTGCAAGATGCCTCAATATAGTCTACGGGTCCCAGAATTTTTCTCCAAGTATCTGAAGCCACCGAGAGGCCCACACTCGTGCGTTGCCCCACTCCCCCTCTCCCAGTCGTCATGCAACTCTCGGTGGGCCCCTGGACCTCGGGGCCCTTACACCCCATTTCCGCTAACTCTCCTCTTTCTCACTCCACGTGTTTCGTGGGGCACCTGACGCTATGATTTCACCCGAGTTAGTGTGAACATGGTGTAGAAGAGATCGGGCCCTCAGCCTAACCGGTGGGTTACGGCCAACAATGACGCCCAGTTGAACGCGACTGCTCTCGCACTCACCGCGGTTGTGTGAGGGTTTTATTTACATGGTTATACACTCGTTTTTTTCCCCTCTCATTCAACTTTTATTTCATTTAAATTTTTTCTGAGTGATTGCACACCATTTGATCGGGCTTTTTGAGACTGGTCGACAAAGTTTTCAGTGGAGTTGGTGCAGTGAATTCGATAAATCCTTTTCTTGGTTTTATTTATTTATTTGTGAGGGGAGTAAAAAAAGGAGAGAATGTGCGGGGAAAATAGTGTTCAATGTCCTTTATAGAGATTTAACAGGACTATTGAAAACTGTTTGGTGGTGTTTGAGAGAAGTTTTCGGATTTATACAGGCGAATTTAATGGACTTTGGGTGAAAACAGAGTGTTTTATGGTGAAGGATTGTAACGCGAGTACGAGAGCACCGCTGTGCCTGAAAGAGAGGGATTTCGCAAGGGTTTTGGCTTCGCTCGAGAAAGTACTTGATATCGTGCCTTGTGGTCATTTGTTCTCAGTAAAACGATTACCCCTTTATAAGAAGTTATTCTACATTCAGTGTCATTTTGGGGGCATGCTAATTCGATCTTTGCGGTCTTTTTGCTCTTCGTCTTGACAATTAAAGACCGGAAATTCCAGTGGAATCGGGTGAAAAATGGGCGAGTGCGACGATGATTGCGCGGTTGATGGGGTGATATTTTCGATGATTCGGGGAATGGGAGGGATTTAATGATTTATCCTGGAATTGTGGCGACGAGGGAATTGTGGTAATTCTGGGGGAGTTGGAGAGCCGATCGTCTGAGATGGCCACCCTAGGCCTCTCCAAGGTTTTCATATTGGACAAGTACTTCACGGAGCTGCAGAAGTTCTGGGAGACTGAGAAAAAACTTCAAGGTATTATTAATAAAGTTTGGGGGGGATCCCTCCCCCGTTAATGACAATGTCAATGATGGACTCATTGAAAACTATTGCTGAATAAATTCTGCCATGTCTTGAGAACAACTGTGGCGAAATGGTCCGATTTTCGTCAATTCGGGGTAGAATTTATCTCTCTCTGACGATTTAAAGAAAAATAAATCATTTGACTTTGATGTGAATGATTTTTTTTCTCTGTAGTGGACCTTTAAAATCATGTGGATGAGGTAATGACTGAGGCAAATGATCCATCACAACCTCAGGCACATACACTTACCTGTAAACCATAAAAAGTACAGTGTAACCGTTACGATGCCAACTTCCTACGCTAGGTTCTGAGCGAGCACAAGAGGGAGGGCAACGGAATATCCTCGGTACCCTGGGCCTCTCTCCAGCCACCAGACGGGTTTTATACATTTTTTTGTTTTTGTTTTATTCTCCCACTATTCCTTCCTCGTACCGTCTCTCGCACAGATCCTCCACAGTTTGACTACCTGAGCCCGAGTCTATCCTCCTCTATTATTCAGCCACTCTCTTAATTCTTATCCCTCTTCTTGAGCTTGACCGGATGCCTTCCATCTTGGGTTGCCATATATACTCGACCAACGGGTCCTTCACTCTACCAGGATCAAATAATCCAGCGGGAGGGAGGTATATCTGGGGTAATTATATCTGTCTGGATGGATCTGTTGTCAAGGGCTTCATCTTTGAGTTCATTACACATTTTTTAGGGGAGGGGAGTCGAAATTATTGAGTGCAGGGAACGCTGTTGGAAAATAATGACTTTTCACGGACACTTTAGCAATAGTTTTTGAGGAGAGCGACACTGAATTCTATTCAGGAAGCGAGAAAGGATGAAATTTGAAATTTCAATAATTATTTCAACAAATAGGAGTGCAGGATTTGACTTCTTGCGGTGGAATAGGAGTACAGTTATTTGGATAATTTTCAGTTATTTCCATTTCATCGCATGGCATAAATAATATGCCATGTACACCAATATAAAAAATAATAAATGAATTATTATAATAAGTAATAAATTAAGTTCTGGTATGAATATGCACAGAGAAAAATAAATGATTGTCAAAAACATGTAATTGAATTTCAGGCACATGTACCTGATGGTCGGGGATATGTCACTGATTTTTGTAAATGTATCACCAATTCAGTAGCGAAGCGGTAGAACGATTTAAGTCGATTTCACTCTTGGCTGTTTTCGAGGATCTTAATCCGCTTTATAAAAAAATTATGACAATAGTTTTGCTGTCTGCCTCAGAACTTATTTGTGGTACTAAACACTGACTAGGATAAATCATTAGCGATTTTTATCCCTCGAATTCGGTGACAAAATCACTGAATTTCAGTATTTCATACTCGTTGATTGGAAATAGTTTTCTGAAAACCCCTGACACGTCCTGGAAAATCAACGTTTTTTCTCTGCACTGATAGAAAGAATTAGTTATTGTTAATGAATGGATTTGGTTGGAGGCTTGGGTCTATTCGGTCTCACCAAATGTTGATTCGTAAATAGTTAAAAAATGCATATTTGAGGACCCAAATTTGACTCGACATCCACCTCTCAAGTAAACCATTCGTTAACTATTAACGAATATTCATTTGGTCATATTCAACTCTACCATTCATTAATAGTTAACGAATCTCCACCACGTTGTTATTCAACCGCTTCAATTATATTAATAGAATACACCTTCCTGCGGCCATTTTGCGGTCATCCGTAGCAAATAAAATCCTCAACATCCAATTAATCTTTAAATTATTCTTTGCCAACGTTTCAAGTGCTAAATGCACTCCTCTTCAGACCAATATTTTTATTTTATCTAAAACGAATACATAATTAAGTCAACCCATTAATTATCTGCTAGTCTCTATTGCAATACAATTGTGGACTTAATGTAAAACTTCACTTAACACATAAGATCAGCGCGTAATTATATATTTTCTTATGGCCCCAGGAAGGTGTATTCTCTTAACGAATCTCGTTTGGAATAAATAAATCATTCTATCAGCGTGTCTTCAATCCGCAAAAACGTCGAATACTACATTTCTATCGGTCGAAATTCAGGAATCCAATACTTAATTTTCCAATGACAAACTTCGTAGCACTGATAGAATGATACCTTTATTCGAAACGAGATTCGTTAACTATTAACGAATGACCGAGTTGAATGTGGCCAAATAAATATTCCTTAACAGTTAACGAATGGCTCATTTGAACGGCGACAGTCGAGTGAAACAAGGCTCCTCAAATATACATTTGTTAACTATTAATGAATGAACATTTGGTAAGACCGAAAAAACCCTATCGCCCAATCAAATCCATTTATTAACAACAACTAATCCTTTCTGCTAGTGTGGAAATATCACTTTACAACAATTTCTGCGACTTAAACACGAACAATTCACAATGAATTTTGAATACTGTAGTAACGCCATCGTTCACACTATTAAGGTTATTTCGAGTTCAAAATTGCTAAATCTGTTGAAAATTATCGTATTATACACATCTCTAAATCTTCAAAAGAGCCCTTTTCATTCCGACCTCCTCAATTAATAGCCCCTTCAACTGGAAATGTAAATTGAAATGTTAACCACAGTGATTCCGATTAGTGGATGAATATTGATTACGTCGAGAGCACGGAAAAACTAAAATATCAATCCAAGCCTTTTGATCATCATAATTAAATCAAAGCTCCTTTTATTCCTCGAATTACTCCGGCTTCTTCATAATTAATTCATTGTAATTCCCGATACGAACGATAATGACGGCAGATACCGGAAATATCGGGATCCTGTACATTTATCGTACAATTTTCCCCACAAAGTTTGATAGATGATCTGACTATCTCCCCCCCACAATTTTCAATGATAAGCACACGCGAGCACCGATGGCAATACCCTTGATACCATAATTCTTCAATTTGCATACGACAGAGACTGGAAATCCCTTCATCATGTAACTCGCAATGTCGCGCTGGAATATACAACCACGGACATTATTCAGACATGAAAATTGAGTTTTCAACTTAGCCCCCTGCATTGCTGATCGATAAGCCCTGAGACGGGTTACGAACACTCGTGTTAAATCACAAATTAATTCGAAATCGGAACTCTTACCCAATATCCGTGGTGGCGTATTCTGCAGGGTATCTCAGAATTCCTCGTACATAGCGGAAGTTATTTCGAGACGAAAAGTCTAATACAGTTTTTGTCTCCGGCGCTGTAAAGTAGTATATCCAAACTCCAAGGGAGGCGTTGGGTGTAACGAGGAGAAGTAAATTTGAAATGCCCGACAAAATGATAGTATATTGTGCGCCATTTTCCCCGCCCGAGGTGCATATGCTATTTTTTAACACGCCTGCAAAGAAAAGTTGGCATTTTGCTTTCTGATGAGCGCGAGGAAAGTGAAGACTTTTCGCTCAAGGGTGGAAAGTTGTTCCCGAGGGAGGAAAGTACTGATGACTTTCCTCCTTTCTTCTTTAGAAAAATTCCAGTGCTAGTACTGGAAAAATCCCAATCCACCGATAACGAAAAATTCTAGTGCTGTTAAGGTAAAATTTGTAAGGATTTAAGAGAAAATTTCCGGGGATTTCTGTAAAAATTTCATATAAGAACCGGAAAAATTCACGTGCTACGCCCTATCAAGCTCTCTTAAGTGTTATACACGGATCAGGTACTGAGTATCCGAATATAAGGGTCAAAAAGTGGAGGTTAAAAAATGAGGATCGCAATATTAGAATCAAAGATGAGGGTCAGAATATAAAAGTTAAAAAAGTAGATGTCAGGCAACGAGAATCTAAATATAAGAACTAAAAATGGTCATCAAAAATAATATATACATGTCGCCAATTACAAGCTCATCATTCGACCTCAAAATGTCAATGATTCCCAATATTTCCCCACACGGAGAGAAAAATTCAATGAAAATTACCAGAAAAAAACGTAAAAATTACGTTTCGAAACGTAATTCGCGAGCGAAGTAAAATTCAATAAAAAGTGTGAGTCGGAACTGAAATTGTACGAATCGCCACGGTAATTCTACGATTTGTTCCGTAAAAATTAATCCCCCGTCTGATGACTCACACCGCTGTGGAGACAACAAGTCGTTCCGTAATTTTTCCCCAACGATTGATAAATTTTACGGATCGGAAAGTTGTTAAAGTCAACTCCCGAGTCGAATAATTGGACCTGACAAATTCTACTTAGGTCTCTCCGTTCAGAACTGAATAGGTCTTGGGAAGCCTCTTCCCAAGTGCTTCCGAGACCTTTCTACCTCTGGTTATGTCCCACTTCAGCACTTGTTAGGTGTAAGCAGGACTTGCATTCAGACTTTCCAAATCCTTGCCGGTCCCCGTAATTCTATGGGCCTATATTAAATCTGCGTTCATATCCCTATTTACTCATGCGTTATTGAAATAAAAAATGCAATTATTGTTTTTTTTTTAATCTCGAAAATCGACATTTCACGGGAGGGTGGAGGGGAGATGCATGTATGCGGAGGCTTTCAATTGAAGACCCGAGTTGTAGACACGAGTTTGTAGCAGCGATGTCAGACAAGATATGAATGCTTTTTTGGGCTAAAATGAAAGAGCGGGTCGAGAAATAGCGTGCTAGGGTCTCTAAAGATGGTTTTGAACCAGCGGAGACTCCTAGACCCCACTGGACAATGTTGTCACAATTGCGCTTTTCAATTGAAAACAGACATCATCTTTAGAGACATTTGTCATCTTTAAAGACT